TACATATATATACAAATATATATATCAATAGGACAAATATATACATCATATATATATATATATAAGTATTAAGATAGGACAAAGAGATTCAGAGACCAAAGGTATATTCCGTGTCCCCACAAGGCTCACTGTGTACTGTGGTGGATTCACAATGGAATAATTATATAGAGTAGAGAAAATCTACAGTACAGATGCAGGCAAGGTACTAAGGGGAGCTGAACACCATGGAAAGATGTACCCAGGTAACAATATGCAGATGTGTTGCCACTTGCTTGATAATGTGATAGAGATTGTGAAAGACGTGCCACGTGTAGGAGAATGTGAAGTAAGAGAGGCTATATAAATGTATACTTCTTTCTAAACAGAGCATAATGTTGGGAGGCTCTGAATCATATTGCTACCATGTCGTTACAGAAATATCCTGTGGTGAAATCCTTCTTCTTGTTGCCAAAATGAACACTGAAGAAAAATGAAGAAGACTGAAGAACTCCAACAAAAAGTTGAACAGCAGAAATAGCCAAACTCTTCTGGAGTCTTTAATTCATCTACAGCCATCGTCAAAACAGTAAGGAAAATATTATATTAAGGTTCTGCTGTTTTGGTTTAAATTATACAATACTAAAAGAATGATGAATGTGCAAGAGTGTTTAATGGCTAAGTCCTGCATTCCTGCCCTGCAAACTGTTCTAGGTTCCAGAATGCAGTGGTGAGCTAAAGTAACAAGGACATGGCCTCGGAGCATGACAGTGTAGTGGTGGAAGGGCTAAGCATGTAAATGAATAGAAAGGAAACTGGAAGCCACTCCTGATGCTTATGAACATGGTATACAAATAAATGGAACAAGGCTGGATGAGAGGCAACTTTAGTTTGGGTGTCAAAGCTGATTGCTCTGAGAATTTGAGCTGAGAGTTGAATGATGAAAAAGTAGTTTGGAAAATACCATTTTCCTTGAACAAAGATCTGGTGGATATGATGAAAACTTATAAACAAGTGCATGTTGCTTACAGGGGGTTTGTGGAAGCATGTCGCAGGAGATAAAGTTAGAAAACCTTTTGAAAGTGGAAAATGTCTTGATTTTATTATAGTTGAAGAATTGGTCTCAAGAGGAGTAAGTAAATTTATGTAAGTCAACACCCCTACCCAAAAGCCCCAAATCTGAAACTGATATTCAAAGAGTTTCAGACTCTGGAGCATTCTGAGTTTTATGTTTTAATACTGGGGTTACTCAATTAGTAAATCCATGAAAAAATCATAATTCTGAAAAAAACTGAAGTATGAGATACTTTATCCAAGTATTTGTATAAGGGATCCTCAAGATCTGTTAAAAATTTTAAAGGACATTCTCACTTTCCTATAGCTAGCTGGGGCATGGGGGATTGATAATGGAGAACTGCCTATTCTCATTCCAGTCAGAGATGCCAGTGAGCTGACTTAGGGACAAAGCAATGGAAGTAGGTGGATTTAAATCTTCCAAATGGATGATATGTTCCCTTTTGTGTTTAATGTGTAATAGTCAAAAGTAATTAATTCCCCAAGAATAATGTTAAGGGGGACTGGGGGCTGGATAGATGACTTGGCCATTAAAAGTACTGGCTGTTCTTCCAGAGAACCCGGGTTCAGTTCCCAGTACCTACATGGTGGCTAACAGTTGTCTATAACTCCAGCTCCAGGGGATGTAGTGTGATCATCTGGCCTCCCCAGACACTGCATGCATGGGACACTTACCTACATACAGGCAAAACACTCATACCCATAAAATAATAAATGAGTAAATTTTAAAAAATAAATAATTCATTCCTCTGTTGGGGAGAAATGATGTCTATCTGTGGCCTGCTTCTGAAATTCAAGCTGTGAAAAGAAATAAAATTGTGCCATGAAACGTCATTCTTCGGGTGGTTATCTTGTAGTCCTCTGAGACGTGAGGCTTCCAGACGAGCTTGCACTTCTCTGGCTTCATGTGTGGCTCCTGACTTCTGGGACCACTGTTACTCAAGCCACTGTGAGGCAGCCTGTGTGCAAGGTGTTCTCCGAGAGGAGTCAGGAACTGGCTTGTGTAGGTCAGGAACAGCCTCAGGACTAGAACTTTCATGTTGGGTTATTCCTAGATGGAAAACCGAAAGAAAGACTTAATGGTTGTTTTTTCGTTTGTTTTTGTTTTTTTGCTTTTGTTTTGTTTTTTTTGTTTTTGTTTTTTTTTTTTTGGTCTTTTTGAGACAGTGTCTCTTTGTAGCCTCTGCTGTCCTGGAACTCACTATGTAGACCAGGCTTAATAGTTGTGTTTTAAAAGGAAAAGAATATATGGTTTTAAGCAGAACTTTCCAAAGAAACTGCTATGCTGAACAGTAGATGCTTCATGTCGTGGAGTCCATGGTCACTGTGCATAGCTCACAGGGGAGGTGAGAAGATGAAAATCAAATGCAGTGATTTTGGAAGATAGGTAGGTCCAAGTCGGCATCTGTTTGTGTCCAGAGCTTTGAGTCATGAGATCTCAGCTGAATAATATTTTAAGATCTTAACAAGGTACAGGCTATTGCTTTCTAAATCTAGTAATTCTGAAATGTCTGGGAACTCAGATGTTGTAGGACTCTTTCTTCCACCTGAGATTGCTCTCCAAAGCCTTTGGTAAATAGGAGAACAGCTTTAGTGCAGCTAAATCATGTACAGGAAGATAACTGAAGACATGCAGTTCCATAAGGTGTATATATAATAAAGGTGAAGGAACAGCAGGAGAAAGCAAGCACAGGTAAACTTCACAGAGGTCAAAGACTTTTGCATCAAGAAGGGTGCATTTCATCCTCGCATACCAAACCATGAAGATGCATTTGTGATACCATGGTTTCAGGAAAGCAAGGCTCAAGCTCACTGAAGGGTAGTTTATGCGCCGTAACTCACATATCTAAAAGCAGACTTTATGAACAGATAAGCAGATAAAAAACCATCAGTATCAGTTTATATGTGCATGCCATACACACACACACACACACACACACACACATGCATACACACATGTATGTGTGTATGTGAGGGCCAGAGGACAGCCTTGTGTGTCATTCCTCGGGAGCTGGCTTTGTTTTGATAGACAGTGTTTCTCACTAGCGTAGAGCTCATCAAGTACATTAGGCTGGCTGACAAGTGAGCCCCCAGGGATCTGCCTGTCTCTCCAGTACTGACATTACAAGTATGTGCCGTCACGCCAGGTTTTATACATGGGTGCTGGAGATTGAACTGAGGTGTCCATGTTTTCAAGGTAAGCATTTAATGACTGAGCTATTTTCCCAGCCCTGTTTTCAATAAACAACATAGTCAAGTTCTAGGGGAAGCTTTGGATTTTTAACAGCACATGATAAATCACTGGCTACTACATGTCACCCATGTCTTGGTCAGGACTTGATAGCATGGTTCTAGACATCAGAAAGATAAGCACAGGGCTACCACTGATCAACTGCAAGTTAGTCCTGCCTTCACACAGAGAATTGAACCATAAGGAGGACATAAGAAAAGACATGAAAATGACGTACTACAGTCTAAGATCATCTTATCATCTACTGGACAGGATACAACTCTGACTATCTGGAAATCTTTAAAAAGACCAGAGTTTCTAGGGGATGTGGTTGGACTCTGAAGCAAGAATAGAATAATCTAGAAAAATTGTATCTTAGTGTGTTTAAGCCAAACTTTTATTAGTGGTATTTTGGGACGGCGATGTCAGTACGCAGTTTTAAGGGAGTGAGGGTGTGAGAAGAAGGGTGAAGTGACAGATGCTCTCTTATTGTTTTGAGCAAGAGAGATACTACCCGTTAGGTAATTCCTGATACAGTCTAGAGGATGTTTTGGATTTATCCCACCATGGACAAAGGAATTGAGACATTTAGTCAACTTCTCACATGTGCTTCAGGTGAGTGAGGACTGGTCTCCAGGGAGACATGAGGAAGCATCAATTCCCTGGTATTTATGGCCTACCAATCATGGACTAAGAGAACAAGACAAACCAGAGGAAGCCCTCAGGCAGCATCCCAGATATTCAACCACTATTAGAGCATCACAGAAAATTAATGCCCAGGGGTATAGATGGAGCACTGACAGGTTCTGCTAGAAGGACAGCAAAGATGGTGATGGTCATCATCTTATTAACACAGCTGTGGTGTATTTTGAAGAATTTAAGGTAAGTATATACTAACTCCTTTATGTATATTTTATCATTTAATTCATCTTTGTTGAGCGCTCACCTTGCGATAAGGCTGTAGGTGCTGTTAAGGCCATGTTTCTGTGGCAGGACTCTGAAAGACCCATTGACATTGGGGTGTATTAGTAATGCGATCTCTGCTTTGAGGGGCATACATGTGAAATGAATATTTTCAGGTCTTCAGCTTCTTCACTCTGAGACTAAACTGTGTAAATTAAACAGCATCCATCTTCTAAGGTTTTCTAAGCTGCTTCTCTGTCCTCCAGAATCTGTATTAAGAGTGGCGTTCTCCCAGTCAGCAGGTGCAACAAATTTCAGTGTGAGGGTTGGCAAGCTAACATTAGCATCTCAAGCCTCATGGGAACACAATGGGCACTTAATATGGAGATAAATGCTGCAAATGCAAATGGCCCAGGAATAGAGAACTTAGGCCCAAATCCTCAGACTTGTTAGCTTAGAGATATATTGCATTTATTCTTCATTCCCAAATATCTTGATAATTCTTTGATCCCTATTTCTAAAAAGTGAAATGAAAAATTAGAAAAGAGAAGTAAATAAACATAAAATAACATAGCCAAAAGAAAATGGATGGTGTGGTAAAAGCTGACAACAGTGATATGAATAGCATTCCATGTGCATTCTCTGGGAATCTAACATTGCAGCAATTAATTAGAATTAATTTTTCCTTTGAGGTGCAAAGTACCCGCTTCACTCTATATCCCAACCTCCACTACAGAGATAACCTTTGTACTAAATTTGTGTCTTTTCTTCTCTTGCTGAAAGAACTTGGGTGAAATATAAACTCCTCCCTGTGGAATATGTTACTAGGTTTTGCTTCCGAGTTTTATATTAATGATGGCATACATGTCATCTATAGGAAGTTTGCTCATTAACCCAAGACTTATGTTTCAAAAGTTCATCCACATTACCATTTGGTATGTCTTTTTCATATAGTAACTAATGTCAGTTGATGTGAATGTATCATGGGTGGCTTACCTATTCTCCTGTATGTTGGCATTTCCGTAACTTCTGTTTTCTCTTATAAACAATGATACTATGATCATTTTATATATATAATCTCCTCCTGCCTATGCAAGAGTTTCCCAAGAAAATTCAATAGATTATGATAGGAATAAGTTAAGGACAAAATATCCTAAGTTGCCTAGAACTAAGGGTTTCCCCAGGATGCAAGATGTTTATTACTAAAAGTAGGACAGTCTCAGGAAAAAATGTTGTAACTTATCATTTTAAATATGTACATGCTCTGCCTTATAACATAACACCAAATACTTTCCCACAAGGTGTTAGCATTCTACACTGCCAACTGGCAATATGTATTTCCTTTGAGCACTGTTTTCTTTCAGCTTGGTTTTCTCAGTACC